ACACAGAGGTCCCATAGAGCAATCGGATCGCAGTGCCACGCGCTCCCAGGGAGCGTGCACAGGCAGTGAATGCGGGATCTCTTTATAAACAGCGACCCGCTTTGGCACTGCTCCCGTCTGGCCGTTTATGTACATGGGCCGGATGGGAAGTGGTTAAAGGCTATCAGGACTTGTAGTCCATTCATTTACAGAGGACTGAAAACAAATGATGAAGCCGTATGGGCGGAGCCCCGCACGGCCCCACTGGTTTTGAAAGGTGATACCTAGTACGGGGAACTTCTCCCTGTTCTTCTGTCACAGGCAGGGGAGGTAGCGGGCGGGAACATGTTACATGTTCTACCATAAAAACAGGTGGAACATGTAACATGTTCCTGAAGGTGAATTTATCCTTTAAGGTGAACTGCACAAAAAACAAAACATAACTTACATCTAGAAAAAGACAGAATGAGAAAGTGTAAAGGACTGCTATGCTGAAAAACAGTTGTATTCAAATTACTGTATGTGGTTAGTTCATGTAATGATAGCATTCAGTATGCTAATTTATTTTTTTTCATTGTTTAATATGGCTTATTTATATTTTCCTGCACTCTAACATGCTGACCTGTAGTCAAAAAAGCAATTAATGTTCTAAGTACAACCTTTACAAGTATAATCAACATAACGGAATACAATATTTTTTTCCAATAGTAACCTTTTATAATGTCAAAAATGTTTTTTTTTGGATTTGTTTTTTAGTGTTCTTTTATATTTGTGTGGTTTTTTTTTACTTTTTATATGTTGATTGTTATTTGTGTATTGTCGCTTTTAATGTTTTCTTTTTTTTTTTCTTTTTGTGAATAAATAGTAAAATAATGATCCTAATAAGCCATATGGAAGTAAAATATATTTTGAAAATATTCTTCTCAAATATATTGATATATGCTTGAAATGCTGGAATTTTGTCCATATTCAATATATTTTAAAATATATAATATAATATATAATATACAAGTGACTTTTTCCATGAATTCTCTTAGCAATTATTTTACAGGGTAGGTTGCCAGGTCTTTCCCCAACCCCTACCATGCAGGAGATCCTGCATGGCCAGGGATGAAACTAGGACAATTTAGACAGAAGCCAATTAACCTACCAGCATGTCTTTGTCTGGTAGGAAACTATATATATATATATATATATATATATATTGAAATATTATAAAATTGTAGCATTTCATTATATGTCAATATATTTGGGAAGTATATTTTTCAAATATATTTTTCTTCCATGTGGGAAAGGCCCTTTTTGACACGAACAGGTGTAGGATAATTGAAAGAGGCTTTAGTAAACATCATACCAGTTTAATTTTAATTTCACCCTCCTTACTGACTCCAGTGCATTTAGCAAAATATTGATAAACAGTAAGGTATAGATAGACATATCATTCAGTAATACACTGACCTTCTCTGGTATAATGAGGAAACAATAAAACATAATAAAACACTGGCAGGCTATCATCTTCTGTGGGCCAGTCACTATGACTAAGCAGTTAGTGTCTGAATGATTCTTGTTTCTCCACAAATGTTGCCCATTATGTTAGTCTCTGAATAGACCTCACCAGTAAAGGTTAACAGGCGACCGGCTTTACATGGGCAGGAATGAAGGCTGCTCTATTGGCATTGGTAGTTATCACTGTTGATGCTGAATAATCTGTAGAGCCGAGCTCTCAGCCCTCGCTGCTGAATCATGTCACCCAGCCATGTTCTCACAGTGACTCGGCACATTGCTGAATACACACAAAGGCCATTCTCAAAACAGTCTGCCTCCTCCCGCCGGAGACGGATAAGGGAGAGGGATTCTGGGAAAATAACCCTCTAATAATTCCACATAATTCCACTGTCTCTTAAAAGAGAAGCCCATCTTTCTGATCATGTTCCATATTTATGGTGTACCATGAAAAATGGTCATGGTCTGCAACCCCACAACCCTAAACAGCACCCCTTTAAAGAATCTGGTGGTTCTTGTCCCCGTTGGCCCCTGTAATTAATTGCTTTAGGTCGGTTCTCTGCCCAGTGCTGGGACAAGGTCATCTAGTGCTCAGGGCAAAGATGACAAAGTACTTCCACCCCCCGAAAAGTGTGCGCATCATGTCTCAGCAAAAATCCCTTCCTTAATTAAAAATGCAAAAAGTCCACCTTCTCACAACTCAAATTCCTCCCCTGCTAGTACAAATCCTCCCCCAAAAATACACCCCTCCCAGCAGAAATCACCAGCTCTCTGCTCATAGAACACTGAGAACTGAGCGATCAGTCCTCGAGCTGGTGGGGGACAGATGAAGCAATGGATCGATGCTGAATCCACCTAGGTAAGTATACATTTTCTTTTTTTAGTTAACTCATTCTTCATTTTTTTTTTTTTTTTTTATGATATATTTTATTACATTTTTTGATACAAAAAGAACATTAGATAACACATAGCTAAAAAAATAAGAAGAAAAAGTTCACCTACAGTTGCAAGAAAAAGTATGTGAACCCCTTGGGATTACGTGGAGTTTTGCATGAATTGGGCATAAAATGTGCTCTGAACGTCATCTAAGTCACAACAATAGAAGAACACAGTCTGCCCAACATAATACTACACAAACATTAGATGTTGCCATGGTTTAATTGCACATAACATGTAAAAATTCACAGTGCAGGGAGGAAAAAGTATGTGAACCTTTGGACTTAATAACTGGTTGACCCTCCTTTGGCACCAATAACCTCAACCAAAACGTTTCCTGTAGTTGCAGATCAGACCTGCACAACGATCTGGAGTAATTTTGGACCACTCCTCTTCACAAAACTGTTTCAGTGTAGCAATATTCTTGGGATGTCTGGTGTGAATCGCTCTCTTAAGGTCATGCCACAGCATTTCAATCGGGTTGAGGTCAGGACTCTGACTGGGCCACTCCAGAAGGCGTATTCTGTGCTGTTGCAGCCATTGTTTTGTTGAATTACTTGTATGCTTTGGGTCATTGTCCTGTTGCATCACCCATCCTCTGCGGAGCTTAAGTTGGCGGACAGATGGTCATACGTTTTCCTGCAAAATGTCTTGATAAACTCTGGAATTAATTTTCCCATCAATGACAACAATCCGTCCAGGCCCTGAGGCAGCAAAGCAGCCCCAAACTATGATGCTCCCTCCGCCATGTTTTACAGTGGGGATGAGGTTTTGATGTTCGTGTGCTGTGCCTTTTTTTCTCCACACATAGTGTGGTGTGTTCTTCCCAAACAACTCAATCTTGGTTTCATCTGTCCACAGTATATTTTGCCAGTAGTGCTGTGGAACATCCAGGTGCTCTTTTGCAAACTTCAAACGTGCTGCAATATTCTTTTTGGACAGCAATGGCTTCCTCCGTGGTGTCCTCCCATGTACTCCATTCTTGTTTAATGTTTTCCTTATTGTAGATGTGTCAACAAAAATGTTAGCATGTGCCAGAGATTTCTGTAGGTCTTTAGCTGACACTCTGGGATTCTTCTTTACCTCATGCAGCATTCTGCGCTGTGCTCTTGCAGTCATTTTTACAGGACGACCCCTCCTAGGGAGAGTAGTAACAGTGCTAAACTTTCTCCATTTGTAGACAGTCTGTCTTACCGTGGACACATGAACATCAAGGCTTTTGGAGATACTTTTGTAACCCTTTCCAGCTTCATGCAAGTCAACAATTCTTGATCGCAGGTCTTCTGAGAGCTCTTTTCTGCGAGGCATGGTTCACATCAGACAGTGCTTCTTGAAACCAGTAAACCCAAAACAGGTGTGTGTTTTTTAAGGGCAGGACAGCTGTCAGCAACACATCCAATATCATCACACTGATTGGAGTCAAGGTTGGCTCACTCCTGGCTCCAATTAGCTCTGGGAGAAGTCATTAAGCTAGGGCCTCACATACTTTTTCCTCCCTGCACTGTGAATGTTTACATGTTATGTGCAATTAAACCATGGCAACATCTAATGTTTGTGCAGTATTATGTTGGGCAGACTGTGTTCTTCTATTGTTGTGACTTAGATGACGTTCAGAGCACATTTTATGCCCAATTCATGCAAAACTCCACGTAATCCCAAGGGGTTCACATACTTTTTCTTGCAACTGTATATATCCTAATTGCATCATGACATTTTATCCCCCACCCCCCTCCAGTCCCAAGTCCATACCACAATCCTAGTTCCAACCTTCCTCATGACTATCTATCCATATCTGTATTCCTTCCTTCCTATCTCCTTCTCTCTGTCGGGCACTCCATTAAAGCTCCCCCCCGATACTCATCCACCTATATTCTAACCAATAACTCATACTCATACTTCAATTGTAATCAGCGACTGCATTACATTAAACTCAGCAGCTCTAGTTGTCAAAAAAGCATTCTGAATCAGTGTTTACAAACACTCCAGACAGCGATTTTACATATTGTTACATTTGTATCTTCCTGTTCATTCATCTGCAGATCAAAAGGGTGAACTGCCATCTGTAGGTGATGTCACAAATGCAACCTGACAAGTAAAATAAAGTTGTGCTCTTTTTTTTTTTTTTTTAGATAAAAATGTTCCTCTGTTTAACCTCTTGCCCTCCAGAGGATTTATCACCCTTCATGACCAGGCAATATTTTGCGTTATGGCACTGCGTTACTTTAACTGACAATTGTGCAATCATGCAACGCTGTACCCAAATTACATTTACGTCCTTGTTTTCACACGAATTGCCTTTGCAATTTTTATTTTTTGCGCTATAAGCAAAAGAAGACTGGCAATTTTGAGGAAAAAAAACATAATTTTGGACATTTTGCTATTAAACATGTCCAGTAAAAAAATTTAAAAAATCAAATTTCATCATAAATTTAGACCAAAACGTATTCTTCTACATGTCTTTGCTACAAAAAAAATCCCAAAATGTGTAAATTAATTGGTTTACGTGAAAGTTATAGCATTTACAAATGGCGGAATAGATAATGGATTTTTTTTCTACTAGTAATGACGGCGATCAGCGACTTTTAGCGGGACTGCGGGACATTCTGACACTGGGCGGAACTGACTTGGTGCCACTGACACCCCAGTGACACCAATACAGTGATTAGTGCTAAAAAAAGCACTGACACTGTGCTAATGGCACTGGGAAGGAAGGGGCTAACATCTGGGGCAATCCAAGGGTTAACTGTGTGCTGTTTTATGTATTTTGTCTGTGTGTGCTTTACTGTGTAAGCACGCTGCTTTGTATTGCTCTGCTATGCAGAGCAATACAAAGCAGCATGCTGGTGCTGACAGGGGGCAATCAAGGGGTTAACTGTGTGCTGGAAGTGTTTTACTAGGGGGCAGGGCGTGTGTTCTTCACTGTAAGCACACTGATTGGGATGGCTGTACTGTGCACAGCCATCCCGAGCAGTGTGCTCGAGCTGACAGGGAGGAAGATTGTTTGTAAACAAAACAATCTTCCTCCTCATCGGAGATGCTCGGTTTATCACTGGGCGCTGGTGGGTAATTACCGGCCGAGACTCGGTTATTGACATCCGCAGCTGCGAATGGCAGTGTGGGTAGGGCGCCCAGAAATGCAAAATCACGTATATATACACGTGATTCTGTGCACAGGTGCCGCCCAGTAGCAGTATATCTGCTATAGGGCGGTCCTTAAGCAATTAACCCCTACTTACCCCTAGTTTACTCTAATCAGCCCTAATTAACTGCCTACTCTCCATCTCTTTTCAACTATTATTTTTCTGCAGATTTGTTTGTTTCTATTTTATTAACTATTAATATTTCTACTGAAAACAAAAAAAAGGGGGAACCTCCCCAGATTAAGGGAAGGCGGCAGGATTTTTAGGATGCCATTAATGATAATCACAACAAAATACCTATAATTAACAATTTTTTATTAATCCATAGAGAAGTTAAAATTCATAAAATCATTGAACATGGAAAACACTACTGAATCGAAACATCCACATAATAGTTGTTACTCATTCGTTCATTGTTTAGGTATCATGTTTCGCCCATTCCAGGCTTCTTCAGGAGATAATTTACATTTGTCTCCCATTATAATGTACAGTGCTGAGCAAACTATTGGCGCTATATAAATACTGTATAATAATAATAATAATAATCTACACCTGAGGTACACAAATTTGTATTCATTGCAAAAATTGTTATTGAACACATTTACTACATCATATATGCATGCCAAAAAAAAACAAGAAATAACTACATATATGTAAATATATTTTGAAGGCTGATGGAGGGCATCTTACCAAAAAAGTTATCAAATGGGCTGGAAACCATTCAAAAATTCAGAAAGAGTTTTATGTTGGTGTAAATTGCAATCCATCAGACAGGCAATCCCCTTTACAGCCAGGACAAACCATTGTATCTTCCAACAAGAGTTAAACTTCCATAAAAGAGCCAAAATTGTTTTTCCAAATTAGGTTCTAAAACAAGATACAAAGTGCAAATGGTAGTCAGAGACACAGAACTGTGGTACTGTGAGACACAGTAGATACTGACTGACTTGAGCTCTGTGGCTGGTTTTTGCGGGCTTTATTCTGGTCTCCTATTATCTTTGACTCATTGACGGCTTTTGTTTGGAAGCAGTGTTGTTCGCTCTTATCCTGGGGGGTCTTCTGTTCTCACCTGATTTGAGCATTTCCTTTGGAATCATCCCCATGTACTTGGGTCTAAATTTGCAAAGGGAGGCAAGTTGATGGGGTTTACCTTTCTTCATATGTGTTTTGCCTAAACATTATATTATACCTGCAGCATCTTTGGCTACCATTTGCACTTTGTATCTTGTTTTAGAGCCTCATTTGGAAAAACTATTTTGGCTCTTTTATGGAAGTTATTTTAAAAAAAAACAAAACAGGGTGTTTTATTGTAAAAGTTATAGTACAATACAGATGGGCTTTAACAATAAATTGCACAACATCCAATGTAGGACAAAAGGAAAAGAGAAGCAGAACAAACTGCATACAACAATTATGGAAAATCAGTCCAATATTGCCTCATTAAAGGCAGTGTGAGTGAAAAACCCAAAGGTATAAGGAGAAGAAAACAGATATCCAGAGAGGTAGAGAAAAAGAAGGGGGAGGGGCAAGGGGAAAAAAAGGGGGGACTGAAGGGAAAAGGGAAAGGAAGAGGGGAGGGAAAAAAAGGAGAAGGGGGGTGGGGGAGAAAGGAGGAGCAGCTACCATAAGTCCCCACTGAGATATCATAGCAGAGGGTAATGAGTCACCATAGTCCCTCAGAGAGATATCCAGGGGAGCCATACTTTATCGTATTTCCAGGGACAGCCCCTGTTAATATAGGTAAGCGTGTACATTGGAAGAGCAGCATCCACAGCCAATTCCCAGGACAATGTCACTGGGGGATCCCCAGAGTTCCACTTTAATAGAATCTCTCTTTTGGCACAACAAAGGACATATGAGATCAGCAATTTCAGATGGTGGGACTGTTGCACATCATCATGAAGCCCCAGTAATGCTAAGGCCATACATTGATCAAATAAAAAACATCAGACCAAAACAAAACAATTCTGGGACACGTCCAAAACGTGTAAAAAGGTACCCAGATGTAACTGACAATGGGGACAGGTAGGGTCCTGCTTCGGGTATATTCGGGAGAGCCTCAAGGGGGTAAAATAGATCCTGTGTATAAATTTGACTTGTACAAGTTTATCCCTGGAGGAGATAACCAACTTAGGACCCAGTTCTAGAGCCTCCGCCCAATCCTCCTCATCCAGAGAAGGAATATCCTCTTTCCATATGGCCCATAACTTCTCAACCTTAGGGAAATTAACAGCAAGCAATGTTCTTTAGAGGGCAGACAGTGGTTTTTGGAGGTCTTCCTGAGTCAACAACTCCTCAATAGGATCTCCCTGGAGGATAGGTGGTCATGGGAACTGGGCCCTGGCCGCATGTCACAGTTGAAGATACCAGAAAAACATCTTCCATGGGAGATGGAACTTCTCAGAAAGCTGAGAGAATGGTAATAGCACCCCAGGGGCCTTAACATCAGCCATATCTGGCCCAAAGGTGTGGGTTGGGGATGGAATAGAAATGAGGGAGTGTAGTATTCCCCCAAAGAGGATGGGCTAGAGAGATATGGTCAGGTTGAAGAAATTGTCATCTAGCCGAACCCAAGTTCGTAAGGTAGCCTGTGTCAGTCCAGGAAGAGTGTCACATCCCCGATAAGGAATATTATGGAAATCTGCTAGAGATCCCAGATAGGTTGCTTCTAAGCAGACAGCAGCATTGAACCTGAATCTACCAAGCCACCAATAAACCAACACTAGCATTGCCGCCCAATAGTAAGTCTGAAAGTTTGGGAGGGCCAAACCCCCATATCAGCAGGGAGGTGCAGGATGGATTTTGCGAAGCGGGGTAGGGCACTGTTCCAAACGAAAGGGGTCACACAGGAAACTTTCTCTTTACAGATACAGGGATCTCTTTTATGGAAGTTTAACTCTTGTTGGAAGATACAATGGTTAGCATGCTGTATGGGCTATCTTGTGATAAGGGCCATATCCCTTAAAGATATACAGTATAGTTATCATACTGCTTATGTGAATATTTGCTTTCTGGTGATGTTCATTTATTTTTTTGGTGAATGATGAACTGATGAATATATATGATATAGATACTTCTTTTCATTTTATAGTTTAACCCAGCTTGTGTACCTCTCCTGTGGCCGGCCAACATATACATTGCTTTGACCTGGCTGTACAGTATAGGGGATTGCCTGTTTGATCGCCTTGTCTGATCGATTGCAATTTACACCAGCAAAAAACTTTTTCTAAATTTTTGAATGGTTTCCAGCTCAATTGATAATATTTTAGGTAAGATTCCCTCCATCAACCTTCGGAATATATTTACATATGTGTGGTTAATTCTTGTTTTTTGGAATGCATATATGATGTAGTAAATGTGTTCAATATCCATTTTTGCAGTGAATATGAATTTGTCTACCTCAGGTGTTGATGTAAATGTTCTCCTGAACAAGCCTGGAATGGACGAAACAAGTTGAGATTCATGACACCTGGACAATGATCAAATTAGTAACAACAATTATTTAGTGTTTTTCATGTTCAATGATTTTATGAATTTTAACTTCTCTATGGATTAATAAAAAAGTGCTAATTTTAGGTTTTTTGTTGTGATTATCATTAATAGTACCCTAAAAATCCCACCGCCTCCCCTTAATCTGGGGAGCTTCCCCCTTTTTTATTGTTTTCAGTATATTCTATGGGATGTGGTGCTGTTTAGCTCCTCTGAGCATTTCAACTCTTTAAATTAATATTTCTACATTTTTTGTTTTTGTTTTGTTTGCTAATATTTTTACACATTTAACAAATATTGACACTTTTCCCAAGAAAAGCACATATCTGAAAAAACCCCAAAACACTTTAGTTCATTTGTAAATAACGTTGCAATGCTTTATACCAAAGTCATAATTTTAGTGTCATTTTATTACAGAATAAAATGTGCACTTTTAATGTGCAGTAACCCCTGGTTCACATATATGCGGCTGTGCGGGTTGCGTTTTGCGTGGGCACGATAGTCCATTCATTTCAATGGACTCCCGTGCCCCGTGACACGCAGAGAAGAAGTCCCTGCACATCTTCTGAAAACGCAGCCCACACAGCAACCTCGGTTCTCAGTACGGTTGCATTTTCCAGTGCGGGCGGTGTGCTATTAGAACTAATGGCACTCACCGCGGGTCTGCATTCCTCCGTGCGGGTGGTGTGGCTGCATGGATTTTTATGCGGATCCAAAGCAGCACCACCCGCACAGATGTGAACCTAGCCTAACACTATTTTGATTTTAACAGCTTCCCAGCTGCCATATAGCAGAAATACTGCTACAGGGCGTCAGGGCTGCACAAAATCACATATAATATATATATATATTTATATATATATATATATATATATATATGTGTGTGTGTGTGTGTGTGATTTTGTATTTCCTGGTAGGGGGTGCACGCTGCCCTACCTGCACCGCCATTGGCGGCTACAGCTGTTGATCACAGGGTCCTGGCCGGAGATTTCCCGCCGGCACCTGGCGCTCGCCGAGGAACACTGTAAACAATGCAGATCTCTCCCCTGTCAGCACCAGCATGCTGCTTTGTATTGCTCTGTTCTTTCTACTTCCGGATTAAGGCTCCAACAGTGCTGGAACATTCAGAAGTTTAGAAATCCTTATGTAACCAATGCCATCAGTATGTTTTGCAACAAGAAGATTGCGAAGCTCTTTGCTGTTACCCATCATGGGATGTTTCTTGTGTGACACCTTGGTAATGAGACACCTTTTCATAGGCCATCGAGACTGAACCAGGTAATATTAATTTTCACTGACAAGGGGGCAGGATTGCTTTCTAATAACTGATAGATTTCGGATGAGCTGGTGTCTTGGCTTTCCATGCCTTTTTTGCTCCTCCCTTTCTTCATGTGTACAATACCTTTTCCCTGTGTCATTCATTTTATTACACACAACTTAATATTCTGAACGTATTTGTTTTGGTTTCTTTGTATGTATGGATTGCATATGTTGTTACCAACGTAGTGAAAATTTCATTTAAAAAAACCCCAACTGGAGGAGTTGGACTGCCTGTGCAACCTCTGTAGGGTCCAGGTATCTCCTCATGCTACCAGTAGTGACACTGACCCTAGCTAAATGCAAAACTAGTGAAAAACAGTCAGAAAAGATGAGTAGGGAAAAAATGTCAGTGGCATCCACCTGTAAAACCATTCCTGTTTTGGGGATCGTCTCGTTGTTGCCCATCTAGTGCACCTGTTGTTAATTTCATTAACACCAAAGCAGCTGAAACTGATTAACAACCCCTCTCTGCTACTTAACTGCCCAGATCAATATCCCAGGAGTTTAATTGACTTGATGCTATGCTCTGATTAGAAAGAGCTCCTTTAACCTCTTCACGCCGGCAGCACACAAATGTGCGTCCTCCCCGTGTCTGGGCCTAGATGCCGCGTGGCCGCACATTTGCGTGCAATTAACAAAAAACATATGTGCTGAGAGCGCGCACCCTGTGCGCTCCCAGCACACATGTCCGGTACTCACAGAAAGGTCCCAGTCTGATCTTTCAATAGACCTTTTCTTTTGATCGGGACCGGGGCGGGGTTTAGGGATCATCACGTCATCACGGCGGTCACATGATCCCTAAACCCCGCCCCGCCCGTCCTGCCTCCCGGCTTCTGAAACTCTTAAAGGCAGGGAGGCGCTGGCGGGAAGGGGTTAATTTTTTTGAGCAGTGTATTTACTGAGAAAAATGGTGACGTGTTCAATACTTATTTTACCTGCTGTATGTTATCACTATTGTTAAAGTGATTCATTTTTATTTATGTTTCTTTTGATTGCACGTAATTTAATGCAGGAGGCGCTGCACTTTTCTCATGAGATATCATATTTTTAATATATTTACAGTGAAGGAAATAAGTATTTGATCCCCTGCTGATTTTGTTAGACATGCATTTCTTTTGAATTTGTTGTTGCTATTCTGTCTCTCAGTTTTACAATACACCTACCATTCAGTTTTTAGACTGATCATTTCTTTGTGAGTGGGCAAACATTCAAAATCAGCAGCGGATCAAAGACTTATTTCCTTCACTGTATGTGGCATTGTACTTGGATGACACAAAATACCTGTGGGCAAAACCTATGATGGGGCTACCAGACTTTGACTTTCGAGCACTGTACTAGTCTTACTTAAATTCATGCCACTGACCTCCTTGGTTATTTCTCAAGACTGAGACAGGGTACATCTGTTATAGGGGTTGGACTTCACTTGAAAGTTAGAATGTTAAGACAGATCAAAGTCTGTTTGTCCTGGACTTTGATTTTATAATAATAGCAATTACGGATATGTAAGCCTGATATGAAATCTGATTGACATCATTACTGAAACCTACAGTATAAGGGATATCAAGGGATCAATATTTCTGATGAGCAAATGCAACTGGCTTTCAGGTGCATTCAGCTTGCATTTGAGATTAGTTTGAGATGCTTCTGAGATTGTTCAGACTATATTGACAGAAACTTTTTATCTGCATTGAACCTACTTCTAAGCTTCAATAAACCTGCTTTTGCTTTCTTATTGACTTATTTAGGCAGAGAAACAGTTCTAGAGTGAATACAATTCCATTGGAGCAGACCCAAAAATTGTATTATAGAGATCTTTTAGAAGAAAATTATATACTTAAATGACTGTCTGTATGCTCTAGTACAGCATTGGCTTCAGAAATTCTCTTCAGGACAAAGTCCATTCTATCATCAGTTATGTGAAACACTTGCTGCCAAGAAGCCCACAGAACCTCTGATGCTTGTAGCATGGACTTCTTCCAGCTTTTTTGGTGCTGTAGGACTATTCTTGTGGTCTACTTAGGAGGTGAGAAACAAGTCTTTCACCTTAACCACTTCAAGTCCAGACACTTTCACCCCCTTCCTGTCCAGGCCAAATTTCAGCTTTCAGTGCTATCACACTTTGAATGACAATTGCGCGGTCATGCAACATTGTACCCTTATGAATTTTTTAACATTTTTTTGAGATAGATAAAACTTTATTTTGGTGGTATTTATTCACCACTGGGATTTTAATTTTTTTTGCTATATAAATGAAAATGTCAAACAATTTTGAAAAAAAGTGTTTTTCTTATAACATTTTGCAAATAATTAATCTTTCTTCATAAATCTTGGTCGAAATTTATTCGGTTATCTTTTTAGTAAAAAAAATTAAAAAAAATAACCCAAATTAGTTTATAACCAAAAATTATAATTTTTAACCGCCTCCCGCCCGCCTTATAGTACAATGACGGGCGCAAGGCGGTTCTTTCGTTCTGGGAGGACGTCATATGATGTCCTCCCATTCTAACCGTGCATGCGCGGCTCCGGGAGCACGCAGCGCGGCAATTGGCGGTGCGCTGTGTCCCTCGGACACAGCGGATCACCGATCAACAGAAAGAGCCGAAGATGTCGGCTCGGTCATGTGATCAGCTGTGTCCAATCACAGCTGATCACATGTAAACAGGGAAATGCCGGTTATCGGCATTTTTCTCCTCACGAGCTGTCACGCTGACAGCTCGAGAGGAGAGGGGAGCCGGTAATCGGCATTCCTCGGAGGGGACATGTACACAGATCATCAGAGCACTGATGATCAGTGTGCCCTGATGATCTGTGTAGCCCCAGCAGTGCCAGCTGTCAGTGTCCATCAGTGCCAGCTGTCAGTGCTCATCCATGCCATCTGCCCATCAGTGCCACATTTCAGTGCCTACCAGTGCACATCAATGCCACATATCAGTGCCCATCTGAGCTGCTTTTCAGTGGCACCCATCAGTGCCAGTCAGTGCCGCCTATCAATGCCAGTAAGTGCCACCTATCAGTGCTGCCAATCAGTGCCAGCTATCAGTGCCACTTAGTGCTGCCTATCAGTGTGCATCAGTGCCACCTATCAGTGCCTTTAGTGCTGCCTATCAGTGCCGCCTAACAGTGCCAGTCAGTGCCGCCTATCAGTGCCAGTCAGTGCCGCCTACCAGTGCCAGTCAATGCCACCTACCAGTGCCATATATGAGTGCTGCCTTTCAGAGTCCATCAGTGATGCCTGTCAATGCCCATCAGTGCCACCTATCAGTGCCTCCTCATCAGTGCCAATCAGTGCCACCTATCAGTGTCTATCAGTGCAGCCTATCAGTGCCCATCACTGCAGCCTCCTCATCAGTGAAGGAGAAAAATCACTTCTTTACAAAATTTTATAACAAAAACTAAGAAAAAAAAAATTTTTTTTTTACATTTTCAGTGGTTTTTGGTTTGTTTAAGAAAAAATAAAAAACCCAGAGGTGATTAAATACCACCAAAATAAATCTCTATCTGTCACAAAAAATGATAAAAATTTCATATGGGTACAGTGTTGCATGACCACGCAATTGTCATTCAAAGTGTGACAGCGCTGAAAGCTGGAAATTGGCCTGGGCAGGAAGGGGGTATAAGTGCCCTGTAGGCTAGTGGTTAAAACACTTTTTTTTTACATTTTTAAAAATTTTTTATATTATTATTTATGTTTTTTTTTTTTAAAAAACATACTGTCACCCTAGCAGTACAGTGTCAACATAGTGACACTGTACTACTTGTGGGGGGTGATGAAGATTTTTTTTTTTTTTTATAAACTGATTGCTTTTACACCCATAAAGGCTGTAAAAGCAATAATTTATCCTTCTCTCTGGCTGCATTCTTACAGCCATTGAGAAATACTGTGTGAGCTGTGATTGGTCACAACTTGTTACACGGTACAAGGCTGTTGTGAAAAGCCTTGTACCATGTTACCTCTGTGATCATTTACAGATTTCACACTTAGTAAGCAATGATGTCAGAAGTGACATCTTGCTTACTACTATTCATGTGATCACTGATTGGCCAATCAGTGATCACATGATTGGGACCTCATACAGAGGCCTCGTACAGTGATCGGACACAGCGGGCACCGGATCGCGGTGCAGCACGCCTTGAGGGAGCGTGCACAGCTTTAAAATGTGGGAGCCGTTTATGCACTGCTCCCGTCCGGCCGTTTACGTACATGGGCCAGACGTGAAGTGGTTTTAAGCAATTCTTGAAAAGGAAAGTACTACATTAATATTTTCAGTCCATCTTGGTTCCACAAAGAACTGTAAAATACACCAATTATTAAAGAAATATGGAGGCTTCCACTGCCAACCTCATCTAAAATCACTAGATCTCTTCAATACTTTCTGAGAGGGCCGTTCCATTTAACCTTATAGAATCTGCTGTTGTATCTATGCAAAGATGGTGACAACTTGACAATGGGGAGCAGGTCTGTACTACATCTGAGGTCTGCGTGAGGGCATAGAACAGGGGTCTCCAAACTGCTGCCTGAGGGCCAGATATTGACCCTTTGCTACCCTTTATCCAGCCCTTGGGGCACTAATCCTCCCACTGAGACCAACAATGGGCCAGCAATTCTTCCATTGAAAGCAATGATGGTGTACTATTCTTCTCACTAATACCAATGATGGGGCACCACTCCTCCTACTCACCATCAACCCTGAGACCATGTTTATTCTCACCGATGCTGGGGCCAGGACATTTTTTTCCTCACTGGCACTAATCCGGCCCTCCTAAAGTCTGAAGGACTATACTGGCTCTTAGTTTGAAAAGTTTGGAGACCCCTGGCATAGAATCTAGAAAGTACATTACGTTTGTTACTATAGGTGTGATGCTAGGCAGCATAAACATACTTACCAACCCAGTGAATCTCAAGTTGTCTTCTTCTTTCCCACTGCTCTTCAGGTGAAGGTTCCATTCTAACAATATGGATTCCTTCTAAGCTGGACTGTGTTTTGACAATTGTGTCCCCTTCATGAATGCCTAGCATGGACATTTTAAGCTAAACTTTTGGGCAAAATACTCAAAAGGATAGGTTCACCTTTGGAGCATGTTACATGTTCCATCCATTTTTTGGGGTGGAACATGTAACATGTTCCAGCATCAGCATCCTGATCCACCCCATTCCCTTCGTGACAGCAGGTCTTCTCCCCGCACCCACGATCACAAATTAAAAACAGTGTGGCTGTGCGGGGCTCCACCTCCACAGCCACGTCATATACTCACAATTTCCTAGATTGTAATTCCAAGGAGCAGAGCCCTCTAATCCCTAATCTAATTGAACTGTATTATTACTGTATTGTCTCCACTATATTGTAAAGCGCTGAGCAAACTGTTGGAGCTATATAAATCCTGTATAATAATAATAATAATTTCCTGCAAATAATAGCCTACAAGTACCATCAGCCATTGATGCTGAAGGCTTGTAGCTCTCAATGAACTGTGGGGGTGCCGGTGAGTGCTCTGGTAGCTTATTGATTCTTCTTGCTCTCATGTACAGTAACTGTCTGTCCATACGAGGTACGAGCAGACAGCTATCCTGAGAGCCTGCAGGAGCCTGAGATTGCACCCACAGTTTGCTAATCTGCAGGCTCCTTAGAAAAAAAAATACACATTGTTTAACTTGCATTTTATTATTTCACTATGTATTTTTTATTTTACTTGCATTTTTTTTTTTTTGTCAAAAAGGTGAACTTAACCTTCAAATATATTCCTGAATAGTCACAAGGAAATTAAGAAAATAAATAAATTTTCCTGCCTAAATGCCTTTAAATGCAAACTCAGATGTTATCTGAGTAGTAGTGACATCATCACTGTGCTACACATTACCTGTGCAGCGATTGCTATGAAACAACAAAATTGTAATTGTAATTGATAAACACCTTTGGCATTTTAGCAAGCGTGAACTAAGAGAGATGAGACGTACTTTTATTTTTGCTGAAGAGTCTACTTTAATCTTTTTATCTAAGTGGTAATAGGTGAGCATTAAAGTGGGGAGTGTTCATTCACCAGTCTACACACGGTGATCACACACAAAACTTTCAGTCTGTATTGTTTTTTTGGGGAAAGGTTGTTCCTCTGTTATGTAGGAGCCCATACCTCTTCCATATACACATGCTTTTTCCAGGACCATGCTGCTCACTTTCAGGGCTGGAGGGCAAATATTTACTTCGCTTCATCTTGCAAAAAAAGTGATGAAACCAAACAGAATGTTGCTTGGTAGAAATTCTGCTTCAAACAAAGAGCTCCTCATAAGTGTTTATTGGTTGTCTTTTTTTTTGCAATCCTCACTTGTTTTAACCTTTGCTAAGCCAGCTGAGCTGAAAAGGCCCTTCCAACAGTTTTTCATTCTTGATAAGAAAACTCTGAATATTGCACCTTAATGTGTTACTAAACCCACAACAGTAAAATCAGTCTGTATATGCAGTAAAGCATGCTTGTTATACTCACTGTGGAACCTAAGGGGTTAATCTGCCGCATTATGTAAAAAGGCTTTTGATCCTGTCTTCTCTGATCCTCCTCTTGTTCAAATGTCCACACTGATAAGACAGACTGAACCCGTAGCCCTTCTGCACATGCTCAGTTTAGTGTGAATTGCTAGACAGGTTTTTTTTTCCCCTTGGGAGAGTGCATGTGATCAGCACAGGGCCAATCAGCACTGCCCTGACAGAGGTCAGGGGTTCTGCATCCTTCTAGAGCAGAAAGAAAACTCCTGCTACAATCTTTAACCAGTGCTTGGCTGAACACTGATATAAGTCACAAGACTGCTCTAACTGCTGATGGGAAGACGTATTTAGCAGTTTATATTTACTAAAATAATTGCATTACCATGTACTGTGGGAAAACATATATAATGAATGCAGGGTCCTCGGTTTAGTAACACTTTAAACCTGTTCTAAAGCCTCAAGGTTTTTTTTTTACCTTAATGCATTCTATGCATTAAGGAAAAAAAACCTTCTGTGCAACAGAATGCCCCCCTGGCCCTCCCACCCCCCTTATACTTACCTGAGCCCTATCATGGTGCAGCGCTGTGCATGAGAGCTACGGCTCTCCTGGCTTTATCCCTCCTAACTGGCCAAATCGATAGCAGCAGGAGTCGTCGGTGAGTACTTATTGTTGAAAATGTAGTGCCTGAAATGGTAGTTACTTGGATACTCCTATTTGCATGTAGCGCAGACCCCTGACAGGCCCTGCTGATTTGCCCCAGGCTATCTTTGCAAATAAGTGTACAAACATCCAAACACACAATTAAGCGAGGTTCACAGCTATGCAGGTTGCGTTTGAGACGTTTTTGCATTGCATTTTGCGTTTTTGCACCTGCTTTTTTGCCACGTTTTTGCTTTTTTTTTCTTGTTGCTAGGCGGATTTAAATGCAAAATGTATCAAAAATGCATAAAAATGTGGCAAAACACATAAAAAACACAGCAAAAACACACTACATGCTTTTCGGCAGCATTTCCATTGAAGTCTATAAAACAAAAAACAGCTTTTTGCGTTCAAAAAAATCCCTGACCCTTTCCAAAAAACGCACCGGTGAAAACGCGAAGATGTGAACATGTCCCATAGGAAATCATGTTAAATGGACTATACTGTGATTCTGCAAAACACTGCGGAAAATGCTTAGGTGTGACATTAGGGTAACTCAAACAGTTCCACAACTCAATGACAAAGCAAGGAATGTCTATTTATTCCTTGAAGTGGTTGTAAACCCTTACAGATACATAGTGAAGTGACTGGCTTCAGGTTATTATTATTATTATTATTATTACTACGAGTTTATATAGCGCCAAAGGGTTTGCTCAGCGCTGTACAATAGGGGGGACAATACATGGCACAGTACAACAACAACAAACAACGTACGAGGGGTAAGAGGGCCCTACTCTTACGAGCTTACAATCTAGGAGGGAGGGGGTAAAGGTACAGTAGGAAGTGGCTGAGGGGGATGAAGTGGTGGGAGGAATGAGGGAGGATGGCCGTTAGGTGAGGGTGGGGTAGGCTTCCCTGAAGAGATGGG